TTTACGAAGTGGGAAAAATTGAAAGAGAAAGACAAGAAATAATAGAGAAAAGTACCTCGATAAAGAAGAAAAAAATCGACTCAACACGTAAAAAAAGAAAAGTACCAACCATACACTTGAAAACAAAAAATTGGTCTAAAGAGTTTAGACAGTACTTCCCTCGCTGTCGGAAACGTGACGACTGCATGTCTATTATGTTTTTTTTTTCGCAGTAGATTTCATTATTTTTTTTGAGTCACCCGGTATATGCAAATTCAAAAAATATGAATGGAATGATAAATTACAAGTACAGACTCATCATATTTTGTATATTCTAGATAGGATTTATTCGGCAAACTTTTGAGCTGACGTCATCAGTTTTTTGTAGAAGATAACCAAATATATTTTGACTAAAAATTTATTATGCTCTTTATAACCTTAAATCATCTGCAAGATTTTAAAACATTCGGTTCTGGAGTTCCTGATTAAATCAATAAAATACATTTACCGATTCATTAATTTTTTTGGGTCACCCTGTATATGCAAATCCAAAAACTATGAATGGAATGATAAATCACAAGAAAAGACTCATCATATTTTGTACATTTTAGATAGGATTTATTCAGCAAAATTTTGTGGTGACGTCATAAATTTTTTAGGGGGGGATAATAAATACAACGAATCATCAATAAGACGTTGTCCTCATTAACAGGAAGTTTAGAAAAACGATGGACGTTCAAAGAGTAAACAGGACAAAAGAAAGAAGAATTTATCAAGAAACACCAAAGTGAACCAGTAACTCACAATTTGTGTGAGTGCTCACTTCTAAAGACGAAGGCCGAATTCTCATTAAAAATCTGAAAAGTAAAATACAGAAGATGGAAGTGAAGAGAAATGAATGAAAGGAACGAAAAACAAAATCTGTACAAAGAGGAAGTAGAAAAAGCTAAATGAGCGAGTTCGGAACCTATCACTATACACACTAAAGCCTGATTATATCTCATTATTCATTAATGTATTAGAACTAGAAAAAACCAGAGACTAAAATTTACCCATTTTTGAGTGGGATTATCTTCGACTGTACAGAGTGCTTTGTTTTCGAAGTATGGCACAGAACTCAGTTTTTTTAAATAGAATACCATATATATTTTTCATATTCTCATTCGCCTCTTCCTAGACTGTATAACCATAGTTTATCTTTTTTTTGCAATACAAGGATTCGGAAAAAATCGCAATAATGTGTACGGCTTTGTTACGGTATCAATTAAATAAAATTTTAATATACACAGCGTTTATAAAAAAATAAGTTTACAACTCTCAAATATCGATATTTCAGTTGCTTCAAAATGAACATCCTGTATTTTTAAGACATCTTACTCTATTTTTTGTTCTCTTTCTTAAAAAAGTAAAAAATAGCAATAACTTCTACTAACTTTAACTACAGAAAACACTTAAAAATGGAGAAAGATACAAAAAATGGAATACGATGCAGTAATAATATACAGGTGCTCTATTTAAAATAAACTAAAATATCGACATTTGAAACTTAGAATAATTGTTTTTTTAATTTTATTCACACTATAATAAAGCGCACAAATTAGTGTAACACAAATTTCAAAAATAACCCTATTGTGAGATTTTTGTGAACTCTTATATTGCAAAAAATTTCAAGAAAATTGGAATAATGTGGCAACGTCGCCTCAGAATTTCAAAAATAAACTTTGGCTGGAAGGAGTAAGAAGTGGCCAGTCAAAATATAAAAAATGTATGGGATGTTTTACTAAAAAAAAACGAAGTGGTGTGTTCCGCCTTAAAAACAGTTAAATATATTAGTTGAAAATAATTTAGTTTATGGTCCTCATAAACATTGATCAATGGCTTCCAAATTTCTCTACCGGGTGTCTGGAAAATGACGGATTAAACCCATGGAGATTTTTTATGTAAATTATTTAAACCAATTTTGGGGGCTTCGGTGTTCTATTTTTGGAAAATTCAGATCTTACCTGTTTTTGAGTTAATTTTGGGACGCCGTCTTTTTTTTTGAAAAATTTAAAACCATTTCAGCTTCTAGGTATTCCTGTTTGGAAAGAATTTGAAAGTGCTTTGGAGCCTCTAGTGCCTTTTGTTATAATAATTTAATTAAATTTCTTAAAGGATACGTCGTTTTCTTAAATCAGTCTTATCTTAGTAGGCATATCACCACCCACCCGCCCTCTCTTTTTTAGTTAGAGTGTATATCATTTGCCAAAATCGGGCTTATTTTAGCAGGTACTAGCAACGCCCGCCCGCCCTCTATGTTCATAGAGGGACCTCTTGCCAAAATCAGTCTTATCTTAGCAAGTACTAACCCCGCTCCCCTACCCATGCTCTTCTCATTCAAAGAAGTACTACATTTTCTATTAGACCAAACAAAATGAATCATTGAAATGGAGGCGGAGTTGGTGGGCTGGGTTAATTTTATGTTCTTCTGTAGAATGGGAGTGCACTATTTACTTAAAGATTTATTTCTTATTTTGCAAGAAAATATGAGAACTGGTGGGTGGGCGGGGCCAATTTTAACTTTTTCCTGCGGAACCTTTGATAAGTAAGCAAACCCATGCACCTCCTCTTCGTTCTAGTGACGACTCTTAATATTGTTCAATCCTATTTTAGCAAGTAGCCCCGCCCACCCACCCTCTCTTTTTTCAGAGGGTATGTCATTGCCAAAATCAGTTTTATCTTAGCAAGTACTGGTGACTAACTTTAACAAAAAATGATCAAAATTTTGAAACATTACGAGTTTACTTATACGAGTATGCACAGGGCAGGAATTTTGAACATCTTTTCTAGTTGGTTGGTTATGCTTCAATGGATTTTTTTTTGTTGGTTTTGGTTTTGTTTATAATTTATAAATCTCTTATTCAATGATTTTTATTTGATTTATTTATTAATGAAAAATAACAGCTTCTTTTATTAATAATAATGCACAGCGATTAATGACTACTGGTTTTTATGGTTATTGATCTAAAAAAAAATAAAAGGTGAATTTCAGTCACCACCAGTAAGCCGGAGATATTCACGCATTAGGTGCCTGCAGTGTTGCCAATTTTACTTTTATAAAATTACGTTTTTTTCGTAATCTATGTACATCATAAAGATTTTTTTTTAATTGTTTTAGGACTCCTGAAAACCCCGTACATAACGTACTGGACAGTTAATACATCATTTTCCAGACACTCGGTATAGCTAGACAAAAAAAGTGTTTTAAGGTTATTTAAACAGACCTACAAGGACAATCAAATAAGTCCAGTTTCTTAGATAAATTGTGAAAAATGATTTTGAAAAATTTATTTTTCATTACAACGCTTGTACTGGCTGTCCGGAATGTCACAAACACACATATTTTTGAGAATGTTGAAATACCTACAAGAAAATGGCATAAAGATATGGTTTTATTCTAATCCGTTACACAGACTGTTCCAAAAATAACGCATAAGCCTTGTTAAGCTCCGAGAAAATCGAACAAAAATCTTGCACCAACTTTTTGAAAATATGAAACAATTTCAAATTAACTTCGTAATTATAATTGTTTCTATGAACAGCATGTTTAATAGGCAGTTAAGTAAATAGTTATTAATGATTTAACAATAATTTGTTAGAATACGCTCTACAATGTCATTTTTGACAATTATGATCGAAATCGTATCACGAATTACGAGTTAAATCTTCAATTTTGAGAGTTTAATATTTGAAAAAATTTGATTCAGGGATTTTTTTACCCATTTTTTTTTCGAGTTCCCCAAAGCGCTTATGCATCATTTTTGAAACATTTTATATAAAAACATAATTTTCTTTTGTCCAGCGTTGCCAAATCTATTTTATAATAATAAATGTAAGTTTGGACACGCTGAACGTATTTAATAAATATTACATTATATATTTTAAATAGCAACGTGCCAAATTTCAGCGTAGTGAATTAATTTTTAAGATAAACTGTAACATTTTGTTTTATTATTTTCCAAAAATTTAAAAGTTTAAGGTAAAAATAAAACTTAGCGTGCCTTTTATTAGAGCCAGGTTAAAAATTTACTAACACACTGCAATATCGACTATATAATTAACAACTAATGGGAATTTCATTTTCAGTTTATTTCACCTGTCACAAAAAAATAAGCATACCAACAGTAAATTTTTTCTTGCTTAAATAATAATAATAATGATTTGTTCCAAAATGAAAAATCCATCACCTGTTGAAAAATCTTCATTATATAGTTTAATTATTCTAATACTAGCACTTAAAATTTGAGACGTTCTTGTTACGGATTGTCAATTTGAAATTTAAAACTGGAAAGGTTATAATCAATGAAAATAAAATGGAACATAACCTTAAATTATTTCACACTAGAATAAATCCTTAAAATTGACACTGGCAATGTTGACAGTGTTGTATTTTCGAAGAAAGTGCGGTGTTGGTTAATTTTGGATTATAGAATATACAAAAAAGTTAAGGATAGTGTAAAATCGCCTTAATATTAATGTAAATATTTGGTTTTTCGTGTAATCATGTTAACGCCTTTTGCTATTTTTTTTCTTAATGTTAAAATAAGTAAAATAATATTTTTACATACAAGTATTTCAGTAGTGAGAAAGTTCAATAACTAAACTACATTCCAACTTTGTAAAATTAAATACACACGTCAGCAAAAACGACGTAAACTATCAAATCGATAGTAATTTTTTAGCGTATGAACTAACATACACCCTATAACTTAAAAATGTCTGTCTAATAATTAAAATGTAGGTAACAGTCTCTTAGTTATTAAATTTTAGCAATTACTCGTGTATTTTCTTGAGCAAAGCCATGACTTTGTATGAAACCTATAAAGTTTCTACTTTCTTAATTAAAGACATTTAATAAATAGTTCACAGAAAATTCAGTTTCGTACATGGCACGATAAAAGTTAAGACTTTTTGTAAAAAACAGTCGAACCAACCCGGCGCATCCACCATTTTCGAAAGTGAAAATAAAAATAACCACTTACCCCTTGGGTACACATAAAAATCTCTGTATGGCGTGCACTTCTTTGGTGTATGCTATATAAGCAGCAATAAATCCTGCCATTCCACCCAACAGGATGATTGTCTTGAATAGCGAAATAAGGACTTGATAAACGGCGCACGCAATCATCGAGATCAGGACGAGCAGTAAAAGATACTGAGAAAACAGAATAAAACATGTTGGTAGGTGATAGAACGTGGGAAAGTTCAATTCAACTCACATCTATCAAGAAGTAGGGCTTGCAGTCTTTGTTTTCGTTATTCAACGAGTAAATAGTAAAGTTCGTACAGTTGGTATCGACAATGGTCGAATTGAGACAGTGTATTTCGTCGGGAATAGACGTCTGAAAGAGTAAATTTAACAACACGAGAAATGGTAACAATTGGGTACTTACTGCGTGCAACATAACTAAACCATATATACAAACAGCCATGATGAAAGAAAAAATTTGAGCAACATTTCTGTTTCTGTGTATGAATTTTGACACGGCAAAGACCTTTAAATGAACGTCCTGAAACAGGTGGGTTAGTGATTAGTTGGTTGTTTGAGGGTCGGCACTTACCTCCATGTTGACGTTTTCTATGTAGACTATTATGGGTACTAAGACTAGGAGAAAAATAATTGGAATTGAGCATAAATATGCCGTGTCGTTCCTGAAACCATTAGTTAAGAAATTTTATTGAAGACAAGGTGACTCGTATTTTTCGAGTAAAGTAGAAAGTAAAGTGATAACAATGTATACCGCAAGCGGAAAATTATTTTCAATAACATTAGTTCCAATAATAATAATAATAATGTTTATTGTGCTGAGTATTTTGATAACCAATTTACACTGTTCATAAAAAAATGTAAAAAAAGTTGTTTAAAATAAATTGGTGTGAAACGATAATTGCAAAAGTTTTCGACAATGTAGAAAGCATTATGAACTAAATAATTTTACAGACAAACTTTGTATCTAGAGAAGGGCATTTTACTTTTTACCAATACTTAAAAATTAATTCGTTGAAAATATTCTAAAATATACTTCAATTTTTTATGTTGGTAAGTTAATTTTTTTTTATTAATTGAAAATGAAATAAATATTTAATTATTGTAGATCATGACCATTTAACGGTCCATTAAAATTCGTTAAAAAAATATTGGCTGCAATTTAAAAAATATAAATTTTCCGGTGCCGACTTATATCCGTCATATTTGCAATATACAAATTAAGCTAAAAATAATGGCGTTTATAGAATTTCAATATCTCTATCTGCTCTCAAGATATAAGACCGCAAAATTTTAAATGGATCATCCTGTATATCGCAGAACTGATCTGTTATCAAAATTAAATGTCCCTTGAATTGATTTAAAGTTACAATTTTCTGTTGACAAATTCGTATCTCGCAACCTGTAAAAATGATATTCTAAACTTTAAGAATTGTTTATAATATAAGAATTGAATCCCTTGAGTTTAAAAATTCTTAATACATGGACAAAAAATTGTACTTCAAAACTGATAATAAAAAAAATCAGAAGACACTGACATAATTAAAAACAGTGATACGGTACAGTTTGTTCACTAATTGTGGAACAAAGTAGACAAAATTCAAGTACAAAATTTGTAAAAGAAAATTAGCTAGTAGAAGCTTTTTTACTGTATTTCATTTCAAACAAAAATAGTCGACAATATTTCTGATACATACGATTTTTAGAGTTTGGTAAGCTGAAAACAGTGGTGAAATCGCGTTCGGAAATTTCGATAAATAATTGAGCTATAGATTTTTAAAAATACGTGATTCAAAAATTTCAAAAATTAAAAAAAAATTACATTACATTTTTCAACAACCAATTTTGTCAACAGCATAGAATGGAAATGAAAAAGTCATTATGTGCCCTCATAGCTGACCTTTCCATGTGCAGATTTGAGAGAGGAACTTGAATATTTTTCCGAAGATTATAACAAATTTGTATTTGGCAAACGAAAAACACACCCCGCACATTTGGTAAACAGCAGTTTAAAAAAATCAAGGGATGCTTAATATATTTTTCAGAAGGATTACAGGATTGACAATTATCTAAAATTAGTTGTAACAACAAAGAGTTTGAAAACTTCTAAAAATAAGACTAGAGTGTGTAGTGCAGATGTTAGTCCATCCCCCACTCTATTTCCGACACTGTCAACATATCTAGCTGGCGAAACACGTGACCTTTATTCTGTGTGATATGTGGGCGAAAGTCAATGTGGTATACACAATTAAAAAGTGGTTAAAAATTACGGAAAAGGGGCTCAAAATAACATATAATTTTTCTATTTTTAGACATCCCAAAATATCTTTTCATGGTAATTATAACTTCAGCGAAATAGAAAAATTAGAAAACAAATGTGAGGTGTTCAGTTTCCACAGATATAAAAATATCAGGTATATGGAAGTATTAAAATGGAAGACCGTTAGTAGACATGGACCAGAAAATAAAAAGATGAGAACAATATATAAAAGAAGTCTCTTGAAGACAAAATCATGGACAACATCAATAACCCAGGCGAAAATATTAACAGCCTTAAAACAACTTCAGGATAGCAAAACATCAGGACCAGACAATGTAGCTTTCCAACTAATTTTTATTAATTTAATTTAATTAATAAATTAAAAAAATAACTGAATAATTATCCTTATTAATTAATTATTATTTTATACTTTAGGACACTCAAAAATTAGGAAATAAAATTTAAAAATTAGGAAATCAAATCAGACATTCAAATTTACGAATATTTTGTTCTAAAAACATAGATTTCCTCAGCAAAAGAATCATATATACAGGGTGTTCAAAAAATTGCGCGCCAACTCTATTACACCTTGTTCAGGACTCTTTATGAAGCAGGGAAAAAATAAATTAAAATTTTCTTTTGTCCAAATAAAAAAGATATAGCCCTTCAAAGTTTAATTTTATTTTTTTTTGTGTTGGTACTTGAAATCAATCAAACTTCCATTATTCAAAATAATTTTGGAGGTATCTGGAATATCCATTATTTTTTCAAATGTTTCCGATGGTCATGACCCTATAGCTCGAAAAAGTAGGTTCCGAGTTTCCGTCTGTCTGTCCGCCGTCTGTGTCATTTTTGTTATTCAGATATTCTCCGAAACTACCGGACTGATTTTCATCAAATTTTATACGTGTGTTACGAATATCATGTAGATCGTAAAACCATAATCAAACTTTATCGAATCGTCCCGATCGTCGTGATGACGTCACCTCAAAACTGTACATAGCAAATGGGTTTCAAATTGTATAAAATAACATACTCTCCTGCAGGTGTCGTTTATGAATCCGTGTTGAATTTTTATCCAAGCAGGCATACAGATTTTTGGAAAAAAATCAAAGTTGCAAAATGTTTGAAATCTTGCGAACGTTTTAAAATTCTCACAAGCTTGGTAAATTTTTAATAATAATGTATTTGTTATTCCCCCCCAAAAAAACTTTGACGTCATGTCAAAATGTTTCCAAATAAATCCTATCTAAAATGTACAAAATTGTTTATACAGCGTGACTCAAAAAAATTAATGAATGAGTCAATTTATTTTATTGATTAAATCAGTAAAGCTTTATTCCATTTTCCCGAAGTTTTGGGAATACAATACTATTATTATTATTAGTATTAGACTACACCTATTTCATATCACAAAATTTTGTGAAGGAAAAACTCTTTTGACACATTCGCGTAAATTTCAATATTTTTCGAAAATGGCCAAATGAAATATGTACACCAATTTGTAAAATTTTCAAAAATATTGTCTCCCAGCCCGAATATTTCGAAAATCTTGCATCGAATCAATATGATAAATTCCAGAAGTTTTTGTGGATTTTTAGACAATTTTTCCAACACATGAATTTTTAAATTCCCTTACGAAATTTTTGACTTTCTTCAACCACCTTCCAAAATTACCCAAAGAAATTTTTTATAGGTTTCAATCCCTAGAAGTTATTTTCGGCTTCAGTTTGTCGAAAATTTCTGACGTTTTCCCAGAATCCCTCTTTTAAAATACAGCAATTTTTAAAATTCTGGACAAATAGTTTCATATGACAATTTGAAATTTTTAGTATTTTTTATTAAAGAGATTTTTTTTAGATTTCGTCTTCTGACAGCTATTTTCAGCTTTAGTTCTTGGAAAATTCGCACCAGTCTTCTTTAGGTGACAGTTTTTAAGATTAAAAAAGTTGACTTTCAAACTGAATAAATATTTCAAAAATCTTAACCCCCGACTATCTACACGTTATATTTTTTTAATCAACACGTAGACATCTATATTCCAGGATTTCTCCATCAGCTGAATTTTTAAGTTCCCTTACGAATTTTTTGACATTTTCAACCATTTTCCGAAATTACCCAAAGAGATTTTGTGTAGATTTCAGCCTTTAAACGTTATTTTCGGCTTCAGTTCGTCGAAAATTTGTATCATTTTTGCAATAGTCCTCTTTTAAAACATCGCAATTTCAAGGAAAAAAAAAATTGACCTTCAAACGGAATATTTCGAAAATCTCGCCCCGGAATCATAAACCGATTTTTTCAAAAGTTCAATTATTCAGTAATGAAGTACTACCTTAAAAATTACTTGAACAGATTCTTTTTTAAATTTTCACCTTCCGAAGTTATTCTCCGCTTCAATTTTTTGAAAATTCCTATCATTTTTCCAGAATCTCTTTTTTGAAATACGGTGATTTTTAAAAATGTGAAATGTACTTTCAAACTGAATATTTCGAAAATATTATTCTGGAACCATACATTTTTCAACTCAGCTTGTCGAGATCAATATGCCAGATTTATTTTATAGATTTTCTTTACATATATTTGAACATTATATACATATTTTTGTTTTAACTTGTATCGGTTCTCATAAAAAAATCGCAAAATCATATTTTGTATTACTTCAGGGGCGAGGGAAGTGCTGTCGAAATAATATTCGACCAATTTTCTTTCTATCTACCTAAATCTAAATGTAAGTGAACGTCAAATTGATGTAACGGAATTTTTTAATGATTTTTCTCGAACTTGTGAACGTAATAATGTACGGTTTAGTTGGTGTGCCATTTTTTTGAAGACCCTGTATATATATTGTTGTATAAGTGTTGTTTCCTTTGGTTGACAAAGAAACGAAGTTGACTTTTCTAATAGTGTCATTTCATACAATTTTCATTTTTTACTTCCCGAGCGTAAGCAAAGGAAGTATTGTAATCGAGTCCGTCGGCCGACTCTCTACTTTTACGTTTTCTCGATCTTTCATGACCCCTAGAAGACGAAGAAATAGGTCTCCCATTTCCGTCTGTCTGTCCGTCTGTCCGTCTGTCCGTCTGTCCGTCTGCCGTCCCGGATTTTTATTAGACAGATAATCTCCGAAAGTACTCGACCGATTGTTGTGAAATTTTGTACTTATATTAAGAATATCATGTAGATGGTAAAACGCTAACCAAAATTTGTCTAATCATCCCCACCACTAATGCGATGACGTCACTTCAAAATTGTACATAGTAAATGGGTTTTCAATTGTATAAAATAACATAGTCCTACACATGTAGTTTACAATTCTGAATCGACTTTTCACCCGAAACGTCCAGATTTTTGGAAAAAAAATCAAAATTATAAAACAACATTTTGAAATTTAATTTTTAATCTGCTAACCAGAATGCTTTGAAATGTTGCAGATGTTTTAAGGCTATAAAGAGCATCATAAATCTTTAGTCAAAAAATATTTGCTTATCCCCTCCAAAAACTTGATGACGTTAGCTCAAAAGTTTGTGGAATAAATCATATCTAAAATGTACAAAATATGATGAGTCTGTACTTGTGATCTATCACTCCATTCATATTTTTTGGATTTGCATATACAGGGTGACTCAAAAAAATTAATGAATGCGTAAATTTATTTTACTGATTTACTCAGAAACTACAAAACCGAATGCTTTGAAATCTTGCAGATGTTTTAAGGTTATAAAGAGCATAATAAATGTTTAGTCAAAATATATTTGCTTATCCCCTCCAAAAAATTGATAACGTCAGCTCGAAAGTTTGCCGAATAAATCCTATCTAAACTGTAAAAATATGATGAGTCTGTACTTGTAATTTATCACTCCATTCATATTTTTTGGATTTGCATATACAGGGTGACTCAAAAAAATTAATGAATGCGTAAATATATTTTATTGATTTAATCAGGAACTACAAAACCGAATGCTCTGAAATCTTGCAGATGTTTTAAGGTCATAAAGAGCATAATAAATGTTTAGTCAAAATATATTTGCTTATCCCCTCCAAAAACTTGATGACGTCAGCTCGAAAGTTTGCCAAATAAATCATTTCTAAAATGTACAAAATATGATCAGTCTGTACTTGTGATCTATCACTCCATTCATATTTTTTGGATTTGCATATACAGGGTGATTCAAAAAAATTAATGAAAGCGTAAATTTATTTTACTGATTTACTCAGGAACTACAAAACCGAATGCTTTGAAATCTTGAAGATGTTTTAAGGTTATAAAGAGCATAATAAATGTTTAGTCAAAATACATTTGCTTATCCCCTCCAAAAAATTGATGACGTCAGCTCAAAAGTTTGCCGAATAAATCCTATCTAAACTGTACAAAATATGATGAGTCTGTACTTGTAATTTATCACTCCATTCATATTTTTTGGATTTGCATATACAGGGTGACTCAAAAAAATTAATGAATGCGCAAATTAATTTTTTTGATTTAATCATGAACTGCAAAACCGAATGCTTTGAAATCTTGCAGATGTTTTAAGGTTATAAAAAGCATAATAAATGTTAGTCAAAATACATTTGCTTATCCCCTCCAAAAAATTGATGACGTCAGCTCGAAAGTTTGCCGAATAAATCCTATCTAAACTGTACAAAATATGATGAGTCTGTACTTGTAATTTATCACTCCATTGATTTTTTTTTTGGATTTGCATATACAGGGTGACTCAAAAAAATTAATGAATGCGTAAATTTATTTTATTGATTTACTCAGGAACTACAAAACCTAATTCTTTGAAATCCACTGCGAAAAAAAACATAATAGGCATGCAGTCGTCACGTTTCCGACAGCGAGGGAAGTACTGTCTAAACTCTTTAGACCAATTTTTTTTAACTATATACAGGATGTTTATTAAACATTGGGTAAAAATTTAGGGAGTTATAGGTGGGTTTATTTCATGATTTTTGTCTTTAAATGTTTTTCGGAAAGACGTTTTGTTTCGACGATACAGGCTGACAAATGTAAAGTAAAACCACTCATGCTCAGATTTAAATCCCTTCGTTTTTTATTTATGAGGCCATTTGCAAATATTAGCGGGTAGTAGTAGTTTTTGCAACACTCTGTATTTAAACCGCATGTTTGTCACATGTTTAGTAAACAGCCCGATATAAAAAAAAATTAGGCCATCATCAAAATTCAATAAGGCAAATATTGGGTGATTTTTTAAATTTCTGCTCTAGTTGGCCAAAACGCTTAGTGGTTTAAGTTTCAGTGCTGACGTACGCGTCGAGGTCAACTAGAGCAGAAATAAAAACAAATCACGTGGCATTTACAGTAAGTAGTAACTTAACTCTTTTGTTTTCATCTAATTTTAATTTTCAGTTGCTCTCTCGTAATCCCCTCATTAGTACGGAAATAATGTTTAATTTCTTAACTCAAATTCGTGGGAAAAGTCGCATTTTTCGTACAGAATAGAAAAAAATTCGTGTTAACATTTTATCTAAAAACTTATTTGTGTTGATAATCTGATTGTTACCTTTAATAATAGGTTGTCGTCGCAAGTTATAAATAAAAATAACGCTACAACAATTAGGCAAATGTGAAAAATTAACAAAGTCTGCCTTATCGAACCTCAATTCATTATTGTCAACCAATTTCAAGATATTTCCATAAAAACTGCTGATAACAAACAGTGAAAAATTAATTTACTTAAATTAAATTATTTCATTAGCGTTTTTAATTGCATTAACTTCTAATGCAACCCCTGTTATACTTTTTCTTCACTACATTATGGAGTAGTGTTTCACAGTTTTCTTTTGCTATAATTTTCTTGTTTTATTTGTAGACCACATTATAATGGTGAGTTACGAAAAGTCTCTAACAAGGTAGACGACTAATATCTTTTCCGTGTTCTACACCTACACCTTTAATTACACATAAAAGCAACCTGAAAGCAGGATCCGTGAAAATAGAGTTAATAATTCTGGATTCCTTTGATTCTGTGGTAGAAAACCTAACTCGAATTATTTATTACGCCACTAAAAAAATAAAATCCTTGACAGCAAAACACTTTTCACGTAATGCTGACCGCACCGCTCGAATTTATGTGGAGTCGTTATCACTTTACCTCACTTTATCCCCTATCTTTTCATTAACTTTTTCCTCACCTTCTCATGACAACAATTTGCACTAAAAAAATCGCACTGAAACAGAAAGTCGAGCAGAAGAAGTATAAAGTGAGCATTCTGTCCTTTTCCAAGACGTACTGCAAGAAGTCACGGTCAAAAAGAGATGGAAAGGAGGGAAAATATACCGACTTTGGCCTCCTTGACTGGATCACGGAAATGGAGAAGCAGAGTCCGGCAATGTTCGGTCCTTAATCTGTCTATGCTGCGAGCGTCAATGGCCCTCATCAAATACTCGTTCACTTCATCTTCTGGGTTTTTCTCCCTTTCAGGAGGATCGCTGAAACCCAGCCTGAAACAGACAAGACGGGCTAATTAAAGGATCGGTTCAGGCGATGTGGAATGTTGTGATAATTTGCTCAAATCCTCCCCATGAATATTTAAAAGTACGTAAATTTTAAACGATTTTCGGTAATGAGTTTGAGTTGAGGGAGCAGAGATTGCACCGGTTTTACTTTAATGGGAGTCGACGATGAATTCGACCTAATGAACATCTATGTAACATGCTAAAGTATGATGATTGGTAATGTTGGCGTAAATGTGAGGAGCTAGGAAAGTTAGTTAATCACATATAGAGTATTAACGAGGAAAGAAAAAAAATCCTTCTGGAAAATGATTTATGTATTATTTGAATATTTAAAAAATAATCCAGGAACAGAAGTAATATTTATGCAGAATGTTTAGTGTGGGAACTAGTTATCGATTTCGGTAACATCAGATGACCTGATGACTAGTTGAGGAACAACCAAAAATCGACTAACTTGTTCACGCAAAACTGATTATCTACACGTAAGACCACCACGCTGTATAAAATACACCGACGTACCGCACAGTTTATTTTTAAAGTCACTTTTATATGTTTACTGAAATTAAAGATCATAATTGGAAAAACGTAGTGGCTGAATAATTCTCAGCTTAATGTGCAAAAATTAATCGTTTTCCTTTGAGGAATATGTTTGTATAAGTGCCTTCGAAAATTGATTTCCCTTTACAGCTAAAATATCTTTCAATCCGGAAAAAGATATTTTCGTATCACAGCTTGTAACTAGAGCGAACATGAAGTAAAGAGCAAGTGTGGAATTATTCAGTTGAACACGGTCAAGGTCGAAATTATTTAAAAATAAGTATTTGTTTCAAAGTTACGAAATCGGCATTTCTCGCCATTATTGAAATTTATTATTATTACTATTATTATTGTAACTATTAGATTATTTCTTGATCATTGGTTCCTCAGGAATCTAACGCATATACTCCGTTTACTGAACAGATGGAGTTTAAGAAGTACGTGACCTAAAGGTGATCTTTTAAATATTCGCTTTGTTCATCTAAATAGAACTTTCACTCTTACTTGTGTATGTGTGTCGTCGTGCTTGTTTTCAGTTTTTTCTCGTTTTTTGCATGTTTTAATTTAATCGTTTAGTCGAGCCGCTGTTATATCTAGACAAATGAGATCCCGATTCAGAATTTAGTTTCTTGGATAGTGATGAATATTTTTTTTTGTTATCAAAAATTTTAATAAGTCAGAATAAAATTACATTTGTAGTCAGTAGTTAAAAATAAAAAACTGGTTCTGCAACTAGTAATTAATAGTTGATTTTTTCCAACATCTGGCCGTTATATGCAATCATTGGGTGAATTTTCTAAAATATGTGAAATTCTAAGGAACTACATATTTTACCCCTAACCGGAATTTGTCATGTTGAAAATAATTTTTTTTTAATGCTAAGCAATTTTTATGTTCTTTCCGGTACTTAAGAAAGTGTTTCATTTTCGTATTAATGAATATTCTTTTTTTATCATTTAGTTAGTCAATTGTATGTTCATCTATTTTTATGACCTTACGAATTTTTAGAAATTTGTTGTATTTTTATAGTAATCGGTATTTTTAACCAAAAAAAAAAATACAAAATATTTTTGCCATAGTGCTATGTTAATTTTCAATACTATTTCATTGGCTTGTACAATAGGTAGTACCGCAAAAGTATTTAAATAATAACACATCCATTATGACAATCATAAGAATAACAATAACACATTAGAAATAGAAAAAAATCGGAGACCAAAGTAGTATTGTTTTTTGAGGGTTCTACACTACAATTATTTTCGACTCCATCTACAGAGTGTTTGTTTTTAAAGCTAATAAACCACTTAGTTTTTTCAAATCGAATATCCTACATATTTTTACATATTCTGATTGATCTTTTCTTAGGCATTACAGTTGATTTTATTTCCCGAGAGAAAGCAAAGGAAGTATTGTAATCGAATCAATCGGGCGACTGGCTACTTACATGTTTTCTCGATTCCCCCTAGAGTACGAAAATAAGTCTCCCGTTTCCGTCTATATGTCTGCCTATCTGTATATATGTCTGTCTATGTGTTCGGATTTGTATTAGGCAATTTCCGAAACTACTGCTGATTGTTGACAAATTTTATATGTAGGGTATCAATATCGTGCAGGTGGTAAACCGCTAACAAAAATTTGTTTAATTATTCCTACCAACAATGTGATGACGTCATCTCTAAAAATTAAAACAGTAAATATGATTTCAGTTTTACTTCTATTTTAGAAAATAACGCAAGGTTTTTGCCCTAGATATCCAGGTTTTGAAAAAAAATCAAATTAAATGTGTACATCAATATTTGTTGCAATTTAATTTCGAAACTACAAAATCGAATACGCTGAAATCTTGACAACCGCTCAAGGTCATCGTAAGCATGATAAATCCTTAATTAAAATTTATCCATTTATCCTACCCAAAAATGCCGTCATCTCAAAATTTTGCGAGTAAATCCTACTTAAAATATGGAAAATATGACGTTATACTTGTGGTTTATCAATGCCTTCTTATTTTTTTAATCATTTATACAGAGTAACTCAAAAAATGTATGAATGAAGCAATGTATTTTTATTAATCAAATCGAGAATGGTTCACCCCATTTTTTTGAAAATTGAAGTATTTAGTACTGTTACTACTAGTATTACATTGAAGCTATGCTAATTTATACCCTTGTCTTTCTCAAAACGTTGATGACGTTAGGACAAAATTTTGTCAGGGAAATAGTCATTTAAAATATACGCATAGCATGCTTCTTTCTCTGTATTTTAACAGTCCACAGTTTTACCACAGTTCATAAGTATTTAGGTACAAACGTTTTTTTTGTGGAAAAAAAAGATTTTTCAGTGTTTTGGCACGGCTGTATTTTTTCAAATGAAAAAATGATCTTCTCTATGAGCCGATTTATAGAAAGTGAATTAAATATTTAATCCTCGATGAAATTAACAGAGGATTAACATGTGGAATATGTATAATATAAATAAATAATTGGTTAAAACATGCATGTTGCATAGCAATGGAGCTCAATTAAAAGTTAATCGCAATTAATTTTTAATTCGGTTTCTACAAATTGGGTCTTAATGAATTAATTACATACAGCTAATTGAATCTTACTTGATATTTAATTTTTTTAATAAGGCCAATTTTTTGGAAAAAATCGAAAATGACTTTTTTTTCAAAATTAGAGATAAAATTGTGATATATTTTTCGCTTCGAATTAAGCTTTAACTTCCACTTTTTTCATACGACGACAACATTGCCAATTATTTTTTTTAACTCAAATGGCAAAAACTAAACAAATATCTTTTTACTTCCCAAGCGTAAGCAAAGCAAGTATTGTAATCGACTCCGTCGACTGACTCTCTACTTTTACGTTTTCTCGACCTTTCATGACCCCTACAGTACGAAAAAATAGGTCTCCCATTTCCGTCTGTCTGTTTGTCTGTCTGTCTGTCTGCCGTCCCGGATTTTTATTAAACAGATAATCTTCGAAAGTACCTACTGTTGTCAAATTTTGTGTTTATATTAAGAATATCATGTAGATGGTAAAACGTTAACCAAAACTTATCTAATCATCCCCACCAGTAATGTAATGACGTCACTTCTAAATTGTACACAGTAAATGGGTTTCAAATTGCATAAAATAACATAGTGCTACTATGTAGTTTATGATTCCGTATTGAGTTTTTACCCGAAACGTTCAAATTTTTGGAAAAAAAAATCAAAATCATAAAACAACATTTTGTGATTTCATTTTGAATCTGCTAAACTGAAAGCGTTGAAATCTTGCAGATATTGTAATGTTATGATAGGCATGATAAATTTTTCATCACAATATTTTTGCTTCTCCCTTCCAAAAAATTGATGACGTCAGCTCAAAATTTTGCCGAAAACAATCCTATCTAGAATGTATAAAATATGATGAGTCTGTACTTGCGACTTATAATTCCATTCATATTTTTTGGATTTGCGTATATAGGCTGACTCAAAAAAATTATCATTGTATTTTAGGAGCGAGGGAACTTTTGTTCAACCAACTTTCGACCAATTTTTTGTATCAATAGAATTAAACATGTTGATAATTTTTGAAATAATTTTTTTATTCTGCATCACAGAATGTCAAAAAAATCTGGGTAAAATATTGTAATCAAGTCGCCATGTTTAACTATATATCCCCGACAAATTTCCAAAAAAAAGCTTTTCACATAAGAAACTTTTTCAATCTTTCCAGGACTTTATACTAACCGTGTATACAGCGCTTATACATATTATATTTTTATTATCATAATATCTATTTTTCAGTCGTTCAAATAGAACACCTGTATTTTTTTACTGCGTCTTACCCTGTTTTTTGTTCTCTTTTTCTTTTGTTAAGTATTTTCTCTTTTTGATGATAATAGTTATTGCGTCTTTTTTATTTTTTTGAGAGGCTAACCGCCATATTGGGAGAAAGAAAACAAAAAATAAGTAAGCTGCAATAATAAAATACAGGTGTTTTATTTGAGAAAACTGAAATTTCGATATTTGAAAAAGGGAACATTTTAGAACCTTTTTATAGACACTCAATGTGTTAAAATTTGATTTGATAACACAACAATGTGTACTTTTGGAAATCTCTCCATAGAATATTGCAATACTGATCTTCAAAAAAAACATTACTGTGATTTTTTGTGGACTGTCGCTTTGTAAAATTCAAGAAAATTGGAACAACGTGGTAACATCGCATAAATGTATGTTCAAATCATGGGCGCTCGAATACCAAAGTTTGTCAAATTTGACATTTTGTTTATTTAAAAATGCTACGCCACTGGTGATAGTCAAAATTACGTTAATTTAAAAATTCAAAAAATTCTATGAAAACGAAAAATCCTGCACTTTTGGGGGGCTGCAACTGTACATACAAAATTTGACAACAATTGGTCCAGCAGTTTCGGAGATTACGCGTCTAATAGAAATGGATAAAGACACCAGACAGACAGACCGACAGACGGAAACGGGAGACTACTTTTTTCGTACTGTAAGGGGTCATGAAACGTCGATAAAACATAAAAGTGGGGATTCGTCCGATGGACTCCAATACTATAGTTCCTTAACTTACGCTCGGGAAGTAATATATAAGGTGTTCAATAGAAGAAACTATGTTAAATGAATTAAAGTAACTGTTCTGAAATATGGTTGTAGTTTCTTCTGTAATCTAGAATAGTATAGAATAGTCTAGAATAATCGGAAAAAAGGTGATGGGGTCAGTTTTTATTAGGGTATATGTAGGCGTTCAGTTTTAATACACAATATGTTCATTATCTTAGGTATTGTATATAGCGTTGATACCAGAAATTTTATTAACATCTAATTTAATTGTTATATGTCAGTCTTACCAAATATTGTGTTTTGTTAATTTAGTCCTTTTTTGTGTTTCATGGGACATTCACTTTATTATATGCACGTAGAGCGCACGTGATTACTCCATCTGTTCGATAAACAGGCTACAGTATATCTGGCTAGCAATTTCTAGCAGATTAATTCAACTGTTGAATTGAAATATTGACAGATGCAACAACTCTTCGTTTTGTATGCCCACTACATTCTACACACTCTTTTGGACATGGAACTGATATCTTTTATTTAACACAAAATAAATATTTCAAATACGTTTGTGTAAAGCTGATGGTACATGTTTTATATATAAACACTTTTACAACCCCCTCTGCTTAAGAAGCAGTGCAGACACGTGAAAGTTAATAATTATACTTTCGTTCGTAATTACACTTGTCCAGCATAACGTCTCTATCTTCTTGTTCTTTAACAAGCGACAAGAACACGCGATCTTAACACCCCTCAAAATGAATTTATTAAATTTTTTTTTGGCTATGGCACGGAAAGTGAAACTAATAAAACAAAACTTCATGTTTGTTGTGAAATGCAATGTTATGATTATGAAGATAAATATTTTCATTTTACAATAATTAAAATTGAAATTTTAGCAACAAACAATGAAGCTTAAACTGAATATTAATTTTGTTTACGCGTAAAATAATTTCAAGCACCAAACACATTTAGTATTTATCGATTTTCGTATATTCTCTTTAGATAAAAATTGTTGTTCAGAAATAATTAAAATTTTAAACCCTAATGAGTGGCCACTGAAAGTCAAAAGTCCGTAACGGTAAAGAAGTTATTTACCTGGAATAATAGACAACATTTCTGGGCCAAACAAAATGAAAAAAAGCAATACTGAACTTATTGCATTGTTAACACACAAAATAAGTATATTTTCATTCAGGAAGGAACAGACATAAAAACTAGAAATAAAAAAATACAGTTTCTTTCAAATACATTATGTGATGAAACAAGAAAATGTAAATTAACTTTTATTAAGCTGCCCTCATAAATATGTTATTTAAGAGTGTTCAGCATCTGTCATTATTAAAATACCTCAAAATAATACATTAATCAAAGCATTGTTCAAAAACTGTATTCATTTGATGAATACAAAGTGAAATGATTAAAAAGACGATTCCCACAACAGACGAGTAGAACACGTGGAAATAATTTACACTCAGACTAATAAATCGTGCTCTTGTTTCATTCATAATGAATAACTGAAATAACAAGCGTTGGTTTCGATGGAACGTTTTCGTAATTGACCTTATCAATTTTAATTTCCACATATATTTGACTTGATTATTTTTGTCGTTAATTAAAATGTATGATTACGAAAACGGACCAGGAATTAGCTTCGTTTGCAACTGAATGCGTTACCAGATAACGTGCGGCACCAAATTCCAGTTAACAAAACGTTATTAATTCAATCGCAGCCAAACATACACATAGATATAGCGATTATTTAATCGAATTAAATTTTGAGTAAGGGATTACTTTTTGATTTATTTTTGTTTCAATAACTGAAGATAATTTGTAAAAAATTTTATGTTTTATAACTTTTAGGTCTAGACCTTCTCTTAAAAATACGAACCAAATAATATTATGCACACAACGAAAACATAGTTTCCTGGTGTGAAGCTCTTTATATGTTATGGTTTAATTCAGACATCTAACTACTGAGCAACACTTTAAGTTGTGAAAAGGTCCGTCCCCTAGGTGCTCTAAGTAGAAGTGGGAAAGTTTTAGAGAAATGGCTAAACTTATTTTCCGACCACCATGTTAATTACCAAAACAACATGGTCGTAATAATAAATGTAGGAAATTTTACTAAAAGTGACACCAAAGTTACTCGTGAATGTGTCATTTAAAATTGAAAACAAAAAATCAAATAATGTTGTTGAATGTAAGTTGCCTTTCAGCAATAAACACTGTTAAATTTATGATCCATGACGGAATGACTAAAGCACGTAATTAGTTCCTAATTTTTTTAACATCATCTACAGTGTGCAAACATTATAATAAAAACTACTCACTTGGACGAATGTTTTCCATGCTGCGATCCATGCCCCATAACCCTCATTTCCTTGGAGATGTTCCCGTTCATTGAATGATTTTGATACGGCGTTGATCCCTAGAAAAACCTTTAGTTGTATTTTCGACTGCTCGTTCTCTTACAAACTGATATAAGCAAGTTTTCAAAACACTTAACCGTCTTATTTTTCTCTGTCATTGGAAATTCAAATCGATTTATTCATTCTCGAGTAGTAGTTACCGACTACAACCTGACTCTCATTACCGGTAACAGGAGCCTACATTTCGAAGTTAACAAAGCTGAAAACTTCCTAAAATTTATTCAGGCAAAAAAGCTTCAGTTTTACAGATGTCGATAATATGTTCGATTTCAAATCGCTGAACTCAAAGAAAAGGTAAATAAATGTTTTGTTACAAAATTGTTTGCTTGTTAGCTAATTGGGTTGTTTTTTTTTATATTTGTAACATGTGTTGGACCATGAAACATTGTTTATGAATGATTTCTCTCGTTCTCGTTTTACAACTGAAATTATATTGATATATAAAATAAAGAGACCTAATGGTAAATCGATATTCTCCAAATTTCACAAATTTATGGTTAAATAAGTGTGCAGTAATGATTTTTATAAACCGATGTTTCTTTACCCAGTACTTGAAATATAGTTCTGCATGAACTATATTTCTCAAACAGATAACAAACTTTCTTTCAGATTTTTAATTGATACGGCAAATAGTACCAATTTCGAGCTAGTATGTGTAGTTTAAGTTAAATAAAACATTTTTTATAGTGTTGTAAATTTGGTCAACTTCAGAATAATTTTGTATGTTTACGATGACTTCGGGATCCTTCATGATTGCCTTTCGCGACTTCCGCTTCCAGCGTTCCGTCGCTCGGCCGCATTGAGGATGAATCATTCTCGGCGTAAGACTAGAAAGTTCTCGACGACCCATAGGCGTCGTACCGAGGCGGCGTATGGGTTTATTTCGTAACAATATGTATTTATTAGGTTAATAAAAATAGACAACACTGTGTATACAGAGTTTTTATAAATGATTCTAAGGGAGTAGTTGGCGATGGATTTCAAAATTCTCGCTTCGCTGAAATTATGCCTCATTATGACAGTTTTCACTTGTTATTAATGTCATTTGTAACATGTCTTTTAAGGTCAACGTTTTTACTGTTTTAACGTTTTTCATGTGTGAATTACAGAAATTCTCGTTGATCCAAAGTCAAAACAATAAAACAGTCATTTTCAAAACTCTTCGGGCTTGCGTACGAAAATTTTCTTTTTATACTAGGAAACGAACACCGTGAAAATGTTTTATTCTGTTGAACAAGACATTTGCATTGTTATGTCTTCTTATGGTAATGAGACATTCGTAAACGAAGAGTTTGTATATTCTGTAACCGCTTTAACCGCTTGCAAACAAGAATAACTGGCCAAATAACGTGATTTAATAAATTCAAGAAACATCGTTAGAGGCTCACGTTAGAAATGTACTCAACAGATATGTTCAAACTGGCAGTGTCACCAAAAGAAAATCTCCTGGAAGACTTTCAGCATCTCTGCGCAGCAGTCAGGAGTTCCTCTTGCAACATCAAATTGAACAATGGGTACTGACGAAAGGATTTTTGAACATTTTTGAAATTAAAAAGAGAATGAACAAGTGCCTTGAACAAAATGGTTAACATTTTCAATGATGTTTAACCACAATAAATTTGTTTCATTTTATTGTAATGAATTAGTTTCATTTTTTAATAAGATATGGAAAATTTAGGCAACCAGTTATACAGATGCCTGTGGTCTTTGTCATGCGTCCTTAGGTAATTAGTAAAGTTGAAAACTGATTGGCGGCACGTTTTGATGACCTACTTCGACCCCATAATTATTTATAGAAACCCTGTAGTTATAGCATAGAATGTTAGAACTAATAAATATTAAATATAAAACAAAAATTCATTCATAGAGATAACATGAAACTTTGAAATTTTGGTGTCGCTTTGAAAGCTGTAAATATATGAGAGATCCACGTTGAACTTGGATCTTAGAATTTTGTACGTGGTTATGAGATCAACTTTTCTTAGTCTCGTAGAAATTGGTTCGAGGTTCATTATTGTGAGACGTTCTACGAATTCCATAGCCAAGACGAGTGGCTCTTCGTTGCGTTTGCATACCACACTGCACTTGCGTGCTCCAAGTGGGGTCTAATGTACGTGACGTAAAGTTTACGGGTTGTCTCAGGCGAAGGGTTCGAGAAAGCTTTGTTGAAGATACAAAGCGACGAGTTTGATCTCTTGCATATTTTGTTGATATGTTCGGACCATGTCAGACTGTCGTTGATGCTGACACCCAAGTCGCTAACTGACTTCACTGAGCGTAAGCGGTTCGCATTGATACAATAAGTTTTGTAGGGGTTGTTTCTAATGTGTCAGCGAGATCAGATATATATATATATATATATGCCAAGAAAAGTAATGGCGCCAGGATGGATCCTTGGGGTACACCGCTTATAACATTTCTGGAACGAGAATACTCTCTATCAACCCGGACTCTGAAAGATCGACTGTTAAAAAAAGACGAAATCCAAGCTAAGAGGACTCCACGAATGCCTTGGTGTTCTAATTTATATAATAACCGTTGAAGAGGAACTCGGTCGAAAGCACGGGAGAAGTCCAGGTAGATAACATCATCTATGGGCTTGTGTTTGTCTAGGGAGTCTTACCACTCATTTAAGCACGATAGAAAATTGGTGGTGATAGAGCGACCTTTTAGGAATCCGTTTGGTCGTCTATGAAGAATTGGGACAATGAATTTGATACAATGATTTTGGATACCACTGACACTAAGCTGATTGGCCTGTAATTATCTACAGAGATCTTGTCGCCTTTTTTAAAGATGGGTGCTACATAGGCACAACGCCAGGCGTCTGGAACGATAGATGATTTAAAGGAATTTCACATTATTTTGGCCAGGGGCGAGGTTAAGGAGTTTATGCAGTGTTTAAGTAAGCGTACTTCAATGTAGTCGGGTCCAGGGGCAGAGTTTATCTTCAGATTTTTTATTTTTTTTCTCACCATCAACGGAGTGAAATTGATGTTGACTAAGAAATTCTCGCTTCTAGATGTAGTGAATGTTACTGTTGGTAAGTCATTTGGTTCCGGAGTATAAGATTTGCTAAAACTTTCGGCTAATAGTTCAGCTACATCTAAGTTGTTATTGGTAGAACTTCTTTTGGTTATTATTAAAAATTACGGAGTTCTCATATTTGTTTTTAGCGACCTTTATTTTGTTGGAGAGTTTATGCTAGAAATTCCTACCTATGCGCTGCATAATCTTCGTTTCGTTTGGTTTTTACTTCCCGAGCGTAAGCAAAGGAAGTATTGTAATCGAGTCCGTCGGCCGACTCTCTACTTTTACGTTTTCTCGATCTTTCATGACCCCTAGAAGACGAAGAAATAGATCTCCCATTTCCGTCTGTCTGTCCGTCTGTCCGTCCGTCTGTCCGTCCGTCTGTCCGTCCGTCTGTCCGTCCGTCTGTCCGTCCGTCTGTCCGTCTGTCCGTCTGCCCCCGGATTTTTATTAGACAGATAATCTCCGAAAGTACTCGACCGATTGTTGTGAAATTTTGTACTTATATTAAGAATATCATGTAGATGGTAAAACGCTAACCAAAATTTATCCAATCATCCCCACCACTAATGCGATGACGTCACTTCAAAATTGTACATAGTAAATGGGTTTTCAATTGTATAAAATAACATAGTCCTACACATGTAGTTTACAACTCTGAATCGACTTTTCACCCGAAACGTCCAGATTTTTGGAAAAAAAATCAAAATTATAAAACAACATTTTGAAATTTAATTTTTAATCTGCTAACCAGAATGCTTTGAAATGTTGCAGATGTTTTAAGGCTATAAAGAGCATCATAAATCTTTAGTCAAAAAATATTTGCTTATCCCCTCCAAAAACTTGATGACGTCAGCTCAAAAGTTTGTGGAATAAATAATATCTAAAATGTACAAAATATGATGAGTCTGTACTTGTGATCTATCACTCCATTCATATTTTTTGGATTTACATATACAGGGTGACTCAAAAAATTAATGAATGCGTAAATATATTTTATTGATTTAATCAGGAACTACAAAACCGAATGCTCTGAAATCTTGCAGATGTTTTAAGTTCATAAAGAGCATAATAAATGTTTAGTCAAAATATATTTGCTTATCCCCTCCAAAAACTTGATGACGTCAGCTCGAAAGTTTGCCGAATAAATCCTATCTAAAATGTACAAAATATGGTGAGTCTCTTCTTGTGATTTATCATTCCATTCAAATTTTTTCGATTTGCATATACAGGGTGACTCAAAAAAATTAATGAATGCGTAAATTTATTTTATTGATTTAATCAGGAACTACAAAACCGAATGCTTTGAAATCTTGCAGATGTTTTAAGGTTATAAAGAGCATAATAAATTTTTAGTCAAAATATATTTGGTTATCTTCTACAAAAAACTGATGACGTCAGCTCAAAAGTTTGCCGAATAAATCGTATCTAAAATGTACAAAATATGATGAGTCTGTACTTGTGATTTATCATTCCATTCATATTTTTGGATTTGCATATGCAGGGTGACTCAAAAAAATTAATGAAGGCGTGAATTTATTTTATCGATTTAATCAGGAATTACAAAACCGAATGCTTTGAATCTTGGGAATATTTTAAAGTTATTATAAGCATGGTAAACTTTTGTTCAAAATGTATTTGTTCATCCCTCCTAAAAAAATTGATGACGTCACCCTTAAATTTTGCTGAATAAAATGCAAAAGATATGATGAGTTTGTACTTGTGGTTTATCATTCCATTCATATTTTTTAGATTTCCTTAAGAGGTGGTTCAAAAAAATTAATGAAGTCAATTTATTTTATTGATTAAATTAAAGGCAACACTTATTATTAGTATTACACCCCAACCAACCCAATTTGGTAGACACAAAATTTGTTAAAGGAAAAACGCGGTTGAAACATAAGGGTAGCACGCTTATTTACATCGACTTTAACATTACAGACCTGCATTTGTTTTATGCGCTCACTTG